TGGAAAATCCTTCTCTTTCAAGCGTGCAAATTACACAATCATTTAACAATTCATCCAAAATCCGATTCCACAAATCTGACTTGACAAGCTCCATCGCGGAAAAACATCTATCCTCCGTTACGGTTGCAACCGGCAAAAGCAAGGACAACTTCAATAACCGGTAAACCAAAGGAAAGTTAAGATGCATATTACTTTCCACCATCACTTTAGCAAGGTCGGATATACTCTTCAAAGTAGCAAATCTTGCATCTTGTTGCATAAAAGTTGGGTAAACCGAAAGTTCATGTCCAACCTATCTTTAAAGCTAAAATCATGTGGATAGAAATCGATCAACGTCCGTAACTTTGATGGGTCAAAGTCACAAAATGAATCATGTGGATTCAAACCCGTCATACAAATAAACAATTCAGAACTTACTTCGTTAAAACGATCACCGAACTCTTGAATTTGCATATCCAAAACCATGTTGAAACAAAAAACTCGTAATAATGACGATTGGAGATATTGGTGTACCTTCTCCGGGCTCTTGGATTAACATAAATTTCATCCATATATGTTTACCATTCGAATGTTATTATTCTCACAAAAAGAGGTGATATCCAATATAAATGCATCAAACCCATCATTTCTCATCTTTTTTAATGTTGCAGTGGTTGATTTCATCAAACTTATAGCATTCGCAATATCTTGATCCTTTCTTTGTAGAGCTTGCGGCAATATGTTTGTGATCTCCGAAATTTTCAAAATCAACTGCGAGTGGAACACAAAATCAAATGATCGAAGATATATTCGAAGACCACTTGCTTGACGTTGACTAAAACCATTAAGGCCTTCATCTTCAATATATTTAAGCACATCAGTAATAGATGAAAACAAACTAGCCAAACGCGATAGAGTTTTGTAATGAGAATTCTAACGTGTATCTCTGGCTCTAGTAAGAGAAAGTTCTTGGTTTAATCCACTTCCGGTTTCAATTTCACCACGACCGATGGATTCTTCGAGTTTATCTTTTTGACTTTCACGCAACATATTTGTTCGTTTACAAGAAGCACACACAAGATTCATTAGAACAACTATCATATCAAAAAACACTCCAACGTCGTGATGTTTTTTTACAACCATGATAATAACTAGCTGAAGTTGGTGAGCAAAGCAATGAACATAATATGCGGAGGTATTTTCTTTCGTGATTAAAAATGTTAAACCATTAAAGTTCCCACTTATATTTCTTGCTCCATAATAACCTTGACCCCTGAACTAAACTCAATCCATATTAAAAAAATAAAGAGTCAATAATAGATTTCAAAGACAACACAAATGTCTCCTTCACATGAACAAGACCAATAAACCTTTCTTTAACAATCCCACATGTAACATATCGCAAAATTACCGCCATTTGTTCCTTTTTGGATATATCGTTGGACTTGTCAACTAATAAAGCAAAAACATCATCACCAATTTCTTCAAAAAAATTGATTTAAGTACTTCTTGTGCAAAACAATGAGCAATATCTTTTTGAATACATGGAGCCACCATTTGATTGTTCCCCGGAGCATTTCGTAATGTAACTTTAAATACACTCTCGTTTTGTTCCCGAATCAAAGTATATACTTCCAAGAAATTCCCTCTAAAAAGAGACATTTGAAACTCATTGTGACCACGAAAAGGTAATGCACATTTCAATAAAAAACTACAAGCATTAATGGAAGCATTTAATTGGATTCGATGTTCATTCTTAGCAACCTCATTTTGCTTATGAAGAGTTGTAGCAATTGATTGATTTTGTCTCATTAAGTCTCCACATTTTTTTTAAGTGCAATATAATGAGAACTATTAACAGTTCCCCCCTCATAAGTCTTAAGTCTTTCCAGTTTATTCCAACTAGTAAAGCCTTCTGTTACAAAAGCATCACCCTCGCCCCTTTTATTTTGTTCATATTTAAATAAATAACAACACAAAAAGGCTTCATCTGATTTTATACTGTACTCTAACCAATCACTGTAGTCATCATACCACGACAGATTAAAATGTCTTCCCCTATTTCCAAACATTCTTACACTGTATTTTTGAAGACACGGTTGACATGGTCCTTTAATCAAATATTTATGTCTTATATTGTCTATTTGATTAGGGTGATAATCTGAATTTTTTTTCCGATCAGTCGGATCCCAAGGAATGTTACTTGAATCAGTTTCAGTCGACATCTGTGGAATAAAACTAAGTTGGGGAATTTCAGTTGAAGACGGTCCCTATGACAATGGTCTTGATGAAGATGATTTTTGTGTTGTTATTTTTTGGTAAAATCTTTCCATTACCCCCTGTTTGGGTTAAACAATAAAACCCCATTAAACAATAATAATTGTTTAACAAAACCATTAAACATTGAACAAATACAAAGTAATTAAGTTAGAAATGAAAACAGTTAAGCACAAATATCTACTTTATCTCTCTATGACTCTGTTAAAAAGAAAAAACCACTAAACAAAAAAGTTCTTAAACAAAACCATTATTAAGCTATATACTTTTTCCTTGTCCCACATAACTATTAAGCAAAGCAAACAAACTGTATGAACCCATTTAACACAAATTAGTCATCGACAGTAACAAATGAAAGAAAATCAGTTTGCAAAACATAAATTAGTTCATAAAGGGTGTTTGGGATTAAATTTGAACCTCAAAAGTCCTTTTTGTAAATGAACTTTTTATAAAATGACTTTTTTGCAAAAAAAAAAAAATTTAAAATGTGTTTGAATTAGCTTTTGAGGGAAAAAGTCAAAAGTTGTTTTTAAAAAGTTTTTGGCTTAACTTTAACCTGTAAAATGACTAAAAATGACATGCTTACATATTTACAATGATTTACTACTTTACATATACTATTTTATACTTAACAATTTTTTTTACACACATATTATAATTTTGTTAACATTTTATTAGAAAATATAAAATATAAAATTCTTTTAAAATATTTCTAATTTTTTTATTAGACAATGATAATATTAAAATTACGTTCATACAAATTGTAAATAATTCATAAAAAAATATCATAGATAACGCCATATTACCTTCATCCCCGCAATGCGATTATATCTTGTGCAATAATATCTCGTATCGTTGCCATATACGAATCATCATCATTCGTGCAACGTGTACTTGGACCTTCTTCGTAAACTTCACTACTAGTACAACCTCGTATGGGATTGTATGATTCTTGTTGTGCCCTATATAAACGCTTCATCATACCTATCAACCTTCTAATATAGTTATGGATCGCCATCGATGCTATCACAATTTTCACTTGGTTCTTGTACTTGTAATTAACATGCATGTCTCTTAATAACGCCCACCTAGTTTTCCACACTCTAAAAGTTCGTTGAATGATATTTCTTAATGATGAGTGGAGATAGTTAAATTTCTCTTTCGGTCCACGAGGTTCACGAATAGCAGCCGTGTGTCCACGTCAAAAATCCGGTAAATGATAACGAATATTTACGCCTTTGTATGGAGCAAGATACCCTTTGGTATTTAGATATCCGACATCAACAACGTAATATTTATCTGTAAATAAAACAAACATTTGTTATTCGTTTCAAAGAAGTAGTAAAAACATAAAATTTGTGTTCCAAAAAAAATTATACTAACCACCCGTTGGATATTGAAAATTAAGATATGGTCTCTGTAAGGCTTCATTGAAAATTCTTGTGTCGTGTGCAGTCCCCTCCCAACCGGCCCATACAAATGTAAAACACATGTTAAAATCACAAACAACAATTATATTTTGTGTTGCATATCCCTTTTAACCAATGTTCTTCGCTTCCTCTTTTTGTGGAACTGATGCCCTAATGTGTGTCCCATCTATAGCACCAATGCAATCCTTCAAATACAAAGAAGATATCATAAATAAATTATTTGTTAAAGTTTGACTACCAAGTAACTGAACAATGGATAATACCTTGAACATTAGATGATACCGAGGGTTATTTAATATATATTCGGGAATATCATCATTATAGTTTGCGTCTGGCTTGATGATGTCGGCACTCAACTTTAGCACGACTTCCAAAACTGTATGGAAATGCCTATGAATCATTTCCCCCGAATGATTAAAAAATTATTGCACAAATCTATTGCTACACCCATGAACCAAAGTCATCAATAATATTCCTACAGACTCCTCAATAGATATATTTCGTGTTTGTTGCAGTCCGTAATTTGTAGCAAGATCTATGCATAACTGTCTAAAAACTGGTACGTGCAGTCTAAACATCTCATAACACCGTCTAGGATGGCCATTTAGTACTTCATTAATAAACATGTGTCATATGCAGTTTGAAGTGTGACATGGCCTACGTACGTTACGAGCTAGTATTATCCCTTTCAAAGCTAAGCCACATAAGATTTCAAATTCTCTATCCTCTTCCACCCAACATTCTTCATTATCATTAGATGAATTAGAGTCATCACTATCCATCCTACATAATACAAATAAAAAGATGTCAAGAAATAACACATAATATAAAATGTCGATTACATAACAACAAACAATAACACATAATATAAAATGTCGAATACATAATGTCAAAGGACAACACATAATGTCAAAGCATAACACATATTGTCAAATCATAACACATAATGTCAAAACATAACACAAAAAACAATAAGACATAATGTCAAATGCCAAATCATTATTTCATAAGTAACTTAAGGAACTCCATCTTTGCTTCATCAATTGTTGGAAACATAAAAGCTTCATGATTTTGCTTTTTGGTGAAGACAAGCAATGCTTGTGAAAATTCTTTGGACCCTTCACGAAAATTGGGAAACTTGATGACAATGGCCATGCAATCTACTATTGTTGGGGAAGGATTATTTTGTGGATAAGTTTGTGTGCTTTTTGTTGATATGACATCCAATAAAGCATCTACTTTTTCCTCATAAATTGAACTTTTACTCATGGTTGAACTGTTGTTGGAAACAAGCTTAGACCTCTTCCTTTTACTTCAACTGCTTTCATGGAAACTAGGAAAAAGAGGCTCATCATCATCTAAATTGATTTCATCGCTATCTCCTTTGCCCTCCATATTTTCTTCGTTCAGATTGCTATTGTTTTGAAAGTGTAACATAATCATAGTCTTATCTCCAATGACAACGGTATCCCGAAACAAAAGAGCATATTTCTCATCAAATATGCTCAAATCTGTGTTCCTAAATTTGGCATATTCTTTATTCTCCTGCAAGACAAAAAGATAATGTAAATAAAAAATGCTCAATCTATATGCAATCATAACTTAAAATAATTAAAGAGAATAGTAAATCATACCTTTATTTTCTCCTCCCACCACTCAGGCGATGCATCTATTAGGCTTCTCATCCCACCGAGTCTGGCTTCAAGCCTCATTAAGCGGCAGTGCCGAATATAAGGGTGGGCAATAGGGACGTTTGCACAGGGCCCATATATTCTAGGGGCCCAATTTTTTTACTTATATTATGTGTAATTAAAATTCCAAGCCCAAATGCTTAGCTCCAATAGTCCATCAAGCGTGCAGCAGTCCAGAGATAGACAAAATTCTGCCGACTTGTCGAGAAAGTTGAGATTTTGTGATTTCTGACTTTCTGTGACCGTGAGGTCGTGAAACGTGAGAAGGGCAGTTGATCATTCATCATTCAGGGACATTCGATTACTCCACAACGTGCAGGACATTCAGATTTCAGATTTTTATTCAGGGACATTAATAATCATTCAAATTTCAGAAAGTAGAAGGTGAGAAATGAGAAGGGAAGGAGCGGTATTATTCCACAATTTTCTTGTTTTATTTTGTTCCAGACTTCCAGTCAATCATAAATCATTCATCATTAAATTATAAGTTATTCAGACTTCAGTTATGTTTAATTGTTTGTTTTATTTTTGAGATATTGAATGTTGAACCAGAGTATCACAGGATCATATTAGATAATTAAATTACTTAGCAGAATTATTCATCATAAATTGAATTACAATTACATTGTAAATTGTTCCATTGAAATTGAATCAGAATGTGAATGTCATCATATTATAGTTAGTGAATGATGAAATCAGACATCATAAAAAAAATCAGTTTATGTAATTTAATTCGTTACACGTTAATGCCTAAGGGCCTTTTTTTCCACCTCGTCCCGGGCATTTGAATTCTCAGGACCGACCCTGTTAAGCGGTCATAAAGCTTCCACTCTTTTTTCATGTTCTCCAATTTGTTTGTTAGTTGTTTTTTCAAGGTTGTAACCTATTTTATCCTTCATGTGTTTTTGTAAATTCTCCCACCCAATATTATCAAAGTGAGTACCGGGTCTATGGCCTTTTCTTATTTCAGTCAAGCACGAATGGATAAACACCATGAAGCTACAATTATCCCATACGAATTTTGGTTTTTTCATTTTTAAAGATGTTTCACAATCAACAACATTAGTGTGGTTTTCATCCATTATCTGTGAATTACATAGTATCGACATTTAAACCACATAAATATCAACCTAACATGTAACTATTTCATCAATTTCACAAAAAATAAGAAGCTGCAAAATAAGAAAAAAAATGTAACTATTATATACAATTTCATTAATTTCATCAATTTCATTAACATTTGTAACTGATTTCACCAATCTTTCACGAAAAATAGTTAATCAAAACAAAAAATCGGAAACAATAATCAGAAATAAGAAGCTGCAAATCAGAAAAAAAAATGTAACTATTATATACAATTTCACTAATGTCATCAATTTCATTAACATTTGTAACTGATTTCAACAATCTTTCACGAATTCTAGTTCATCAAAACAGAAAATTGGAAACAACAATCAATTTCTCTCACTCTTATAAGTACCTGTTAACACAACACACAACACAGGTACATATGGATTTCTATACACAACCAGGTAACATATGGGGGTGCATTACAGAAGCAAATTAGAAGAAGGAGGTGCATAAGTACAGAAGCAAATCAATACATTTGGGGGGAAACGATGAAAAATCTCAGAATAAACAAAGCAAATCGGATCTGAAGCTTACCTAAACGGAGAAAGGGGTAGGCGACGTCGGTAATGGTCGTTGACTGAGGAGGATCGTCGGTGGGGAACGGGAGTGGTGAAGTCGATCGAAACGAGAAGATGAGAACAGTTTTGTAAGGTGGGAAAAAAAGACGAGAACATATATATAGGTGGCTGTGAATTGAATAGGGTAGTTGTAAGGGCATTAATGTAATTTACTTTTTTTGAGGTCCAAAAGTCGCAAAAGATACAAAAATGTGTCTTTTATCCAGCTAACTTTTTCTTTTTATCTAAAAGTTGTTTGCAGAACTTTTCCATTTACCAAACAACTTTTGGGACTTTTTGACTTTATGAAGAAGTTAAAAGTCCAAAAGTAGTTTAAAAAGGAACCCCAAACACCCTCATAATATCAAAGCAAAACTCATAAATCGGAATCAAATCAGTTTATATAATAATATAAACCATTAAGCAAGACAAACCCATTACTGGAAATTGAACATCAAATCAAACAAAATCAGGGGAATAAGCTTACTAATTCTCCGGCGACGGTGGTATACGACGTTAGACAAAGGAGGGTTATCTATGGTAGGCGGCAGCAGTTGGTGTTGCTCAGCCGACAATGAAAGTGGTAGTCCGTCACCGACGAGTGCATCGATGCTAATTTCTAGCGTTGTGCAGTGCAACAGTGCTAACTTTCGGCGGTGGGCGGTGGCTGTAGAGTGGTAACTTCCGGAGATTTCAATCTAGTTCTTGTTCTTTGGTATATTGGATCATGGTTTCTTCTAGTTCTAGGTCAAAACTCGAAAAACAGGAGAAAAACCAGAAGTGGGGAAACAAAGGTGTGTTGGATGAGTGGGAGTGGGACCAATCTTTTTTGAGTGGTGATCAATAGTTAATTTTTTTTATATCCAATCCTGGTAGGGACCATTTTTAGATGGAGGCCATGCTCCCCCATTCCTAAAAGATTGAATCTGCCAATGTGCACAACAATCAAGAAGGTTTCATGTAATCCTGTTTAGAGTAAATGGTTTTGATAGAATTTGTTTCAAATATTTAATATACATATATTAATTATAATTAATAAAAAAGAAAAAAGAACATATTATGCTAAAACTAAAGATGCTTAAAATCAAACTCATCCACCTTATACATTTAGAGAACAGCGTTGCTGATCATGAGAGAGAGAGAGAGAGAGAGAGAGACATTTGTCACATGGTTCAATGGTCAGAATTTGGAACTACTACTAAGGAGTTGGTATAGCTTTAATAGATTTATATTACTCGTTGGAGATGTCTAGAAATATAGTTTTTCATTTTATGCATTGTAAGGACAAACTCCAATTTTCTTTTTAGCAATAAAATGAAGTTTTTGTAGTTATTTTATCTTATAGTTCCTTGTAGTGGCATTTATGAAAAGTGTTGGTTATGTTTCTAATAATAACAATATTAATAGTGGATATTGATTCTTCAAGAACGTGCCTGTGGTACTGTCATAATTGACCAAGTGAAAAGAAATCTCATCACCAAGTTTCAGTTGGACAGAAATTTGGAGTCATACAATTCGAATTGCATGATGTATGAGAATCTTGTTCATTGGAAAATTATGACTAATTCATTGTTCACATATTTATGTGAGACAAGTGAAGGACTAATGGATCAAGTACATGTTGACATAAACTTTTCTGATCCACCACAAGGTACGATAACTCTTTTCATCATGATCTACTGATACTTCAACAAATATGATTATGTTTATAAGATTAAGCATAATTCTGATACTTTTGAAAAAGGTTCAAAGAGTAATTGAACGAATAAAATAATCTGTTAGGCAGAAAGATAAAAGATTCTCCAATCTGAAAAAGAAAGTAGAGTGCTTTAGTATCATGGTTTATGATCATCTTAGCAATTGTGGAATTGTATCACAATTAATCCTCCAAGAACATCATAGTGCAATTTTATGACTAAGAATAGGAATCAAACGTTGTTGGAAATGGTTTGATCATAAGATAAGTCATACTTTGTTCCAATAAAGTTTTAGAGTCATGCTCAAGTAACTATAAACCGTATCTTGGAACTTATTTCAAACTAAGAAGGTTGAAAACACCACGAAATATGTGGAGTAAAAGTCTTTTCTTGTCGAGAATCCACATGAACTTTTGAATACTTGTTTTAGCTCATCAAGGAATGTTCCTTGAGAAAAAACTCATATGTCAAGAAGTCAGTGGATAAACTCACTCTTAAAGATTACTTCATTGATTTTATCACGAGTAATTCTAAGATGATAATCTACTATTCTTAAGCAGAGATATATAGTTCATAATTTACGAATCAATTGTGCATTATTTTATCCAAACGTATCTCGCAATTGGGTCTTATAAAGAGTAATTTCATGCATGATTTGGTTAGTAAAATGTATGACTATATAGTCAAAGTAACTCGTTCCTTTTGCCTTAACAAGAAAAGTGATATCTTTGGGCCACTCGATGATTTGTTTCCGACATCTGAAGTGCTTGGTCAAGCCCGGACTAAATTGATGTTTTCAATTAGTAGTCTGAATTCTGTCGTCATAAATCGGGAAATCGAGAAACTAATATTAGACTATGAGATTGATTCTAATCCATGTCTTATGTCTATACGATATCTTGTAGAACGAAGGAATAGTTGATCACTTACCTTAGGGCTAACGGTTGATTTGAATCAAAGTTTGGTAGTGGCTTTGGAAAGCACACTTTGTTGTTTAAGTCAATGTTTATACTTGCATTTATAGTTATAGACTTATCCAAGTGGGAGACTGTTGGATTAAGGTGTCTAAGCCAATAACTAAATTGGTATATTCTTTTAGCTAGAAGCAAAGTCCTTTTTGCCCTCATAACTAGAACTTTTTAAGAATGACATTGAGAGAGAGATGATATGTTTGTTAGTTTATTATATGATTAATAAATTGTAATAAATGATTTGTTAATATATTATGATTAATATATTAATTAGAAATAGATAATTGATTTGTTAATTTATTATGTGAGATCAATTGTTAAATGATTGATTCATTAATTAATAAATTAATGTGAAATCAGTTAGAATTAATTAATTATTAATCAGACTTGATATGGAATTAACTTGGGATTAATTGGAATTAATTAAAGTTCCAAAGGTTGAATTGAAATTGTAATTGAGCAATGAAGAAAATTCTAGAACCCATATAGTGGTGAACGAAATTTAGGAGTGTTCTAAGGTTTCTGGAATATTCCTAAAGCTAATAAGGATATCATATTTGAATAAAATAAACCTTAATATTTTATTATTCAAATTTAGGGTTTTCCTTGTCTCATCCACACTATAAATAGGACCCCAAGGGTTATTATTTTCGTTCATATGATTC